AAATGGAATTGAATTTCCGAAATTTCTTTGACATTTTTCATCAAATGCTGTTTGAAAGTTGCTAACAATAGTGAGCGTTCGATGCAAGTAGTTATGAATTGTTTAAAACTCAGTGAAACAGTTTAGTGCTTTTCAACAACATGAAATGGATTTTAATTCTCTGATTTCCTTGGCTTACACTTCGCAATCAATCGTTTAATGGTAACATTTTCTACCCACTATTATTGTTATTTATCATTTATTTAAAGATCAATGAAATAGATTAATGTGTTTCTGAAGAGACATGAAATGCATATGAACTCAGTCAGTGGCGTACGCAGAATTTTTTCAAGGGGGGTGTTCATAATTTTCTGAAACTACTAAAATAAATTCGAGTCTGTAATAAAGCACTATTATTTCCCTAATTTAGACAGCTAGACAATTTTGACTTTTTATTTAGACAGCATTGTTTAGTTAAATTTTGATTTGATTTTTTAAGTTTAAGAACATAATGTAATATCTTCTAAAAAAAAGTCCAATGTCATATGGGTGGGAAGTAACACTTTGAGGGCCACTTTCACATTCATCAGATTTTGTTATGCTAGAAACGTTTTCTTCAACGGAAGTATCACATTTCTGTACGACAGAAAAACTTACATTGGTACTAGATGGTACACCTCACTAATTTCAGGTCGCGGTTTTTTCGCAAAATAATTAAAAATTGTTAAATTCTTGCGTTTTGACATCCTAAAGATCCAAGAACAGCAAATATATATGGATTGGTACAGAAATATCCGCTATGCTATGATCTCAAAGTTTCGAGCTGGAATGAATAACTTCAATGAGCACAGTATCTCCAATGGTATTGTTACTGATTTCTTCACTAGTCGAAATAGTGGCGACGACGGGCTCGGCGATTGTTGTAGTTAATTTACGTCGCACTAGAGTTGCACGATGAGCTATTGGCGACGGTCTGGGAAACACCCCTGAGGATGATCCGAAGACATACCATCACAATTTTGATCCTCTGCACAGAGGGGATGGCACCCCCGCTTCGGTAGCACGACGACCTGCACGCGAAATCGAGCACTTTACTGTAGAACAGTTTAACGAGGACCAATACCGCACACCCTCAGTCCCTACACAGGCTGATACAAGTGGTCACCCACCCGCGCACTTACCGTAGCCAGTGATGCTTGACTTCGGTGATCTGCTGGGAACCGTGTCTTAACGATCAGTCCACTGCGGGACGGTACGGCGATTGACTGAACTTTTTGTTGAGATAAATCAAAACAGATTTAGCGGCAAGCTCCGAAAGACAAGCGGCAGAGATAACTCTTAGTCTGACTAACTAACTCCACTGTACTCCGTTAACCCTTTTATATAATTTTTCACCGCATCTCCAAAATTCTCGAATTGTCTCAAAGACGACAGAACGTCTAGGATTCCAGAATCATCGCGTAAAGAGCTCGCGAATGACAGCCAGTCTCGAAAACTATACTGGTAGGACAGAAAGGAACCAGTCCGTAACAGTATCACGTGAATTTGGTTTCAAAAGTACAACCCTATTATAGTTAATGTTTTTTCAGTATTCTGAGAAATACCGTGACAAAAAAAAAGTAGGCATAAGGCAGATAAAAATATATAGTCTTAAAAAATAATAGCTCGCATAATTTCTACTAAAATTTTTATTTTTGCCATTTTGTCTGAGCTCAAGGGGGTTGTTTAAACCCCTAAACCCCTCCCTTGCGTACGCCACTGAACTCAGTAATTTATTTTAAATGTATTTTTGATATTCTCAAAAGTTATTTTTATCGCCTGAAAAATATTTGTTGTTTATTTGAAAATCAGTTAAAAAATTTACTACTGATTTTCTTAAAAATAACAGGCGATTTTTTTAAAAAAATAGAAGATATAGAAATAAATGTACAATTAGCTGCATTTTTTTTTAATGAAACGAGTTGATATATTCTTACAAACTTTTTAAAATTATTCAGAGTTTGTTTATAGGTGGCACTACTGTCGGAAAAAACGAAACAATATTTTTTACAGCAATGACGCCATTCCAACAGAAATATTTGCTGGAGCATCAATTGATTTGTCCTCAACTCAGCCAACATGTTGTAACAAATGCTGGCTTTTCGAATAAATGTTTTACAATTTGTCTCAATTATCAGCGCCATCTGCTTATGACTTCTGTAGCTAACATTAAACTTTGGAGGTTATGAAATCAATGGTTTCTGAAGGTTCAACATAGTAAACCGTGCATATCTGCCTCCTTCCTTTTTTTTAAAATTGGATTTTAAGTCATCGCTCATTTATAGGGCACGAGCTATGTTTCTAGTCACATATTTAAGAAAGATGATTTGTTTGATTTCACCATCCAACTCCCTCCCTTTTTAAGAAAAATTCTGTCAGGAATAATATTGCTTTTAGAATTTAAAAATAGAAGAGAATTAAAAATTTTTGGTCACTAGTAAAATTTTTTAAAATTACACATTATACCTGAGAAAAAGGCTGATTGTAGAATTATTTTATAATATCTAAACGCGAAAACAGGATTTAATTTTTGTTTTTCGGTATATTTAGTCCACCTTTGCAATACAGGCAAAGTGGGACAGGTTTTTTCGAAAGAAGAAACATCAAAGAAGACCAAAAAAAAGTTTAGCGAATTACCTCGTGAAACTTTTTGGAATTAAGTTTCGAAAGTCATTCAAACATTGTGAAATGTTAAATGATAAGATATAAATTATAAGTTTGTCACGAGTAGTAACTAATCCAACAAATTGAAAAATTTTACTATAATTTCAGACAAATTACTTTGATAAAAATGTAACAGTAAGGTGAAATTCCTATATATATTTCTGAAATAAAAATTTAAAGATTACATTTAAAAAAAAAAAAATGTAAACATATTTTTCATTACATTGTACTCTTGTCGGTCCAAAAAGTAAATTATAATGTTTGGAATAATTATCAATACTTAATTTGGGCTTTATTAAAACTGCCTACACATATTTTAGTTGAAAATTTAATTTTTGACTTTTGGCCTAAGATCATGGTCTTCTGGTCCACAGTGAAGTGGTAGGTAAAAAAAGAATATGTAAACGTGTTATTAGTATCTTTCCTCCCAGTAAAACATGAAGTGAGTTACAGTATACGCTGTTTAGTACGACCTAATTACAGCGGCCTATCCATTACAACGATTGATGCGTGATGTCCCGTTTGCTATTTCATAGAAGCAATGTTATTTTAATGCCGATTAGAATATGCACTGAAACGCGCATTCCAATACAACGACCTAAATGTAGTCATTTAATTTAGAAATTGTTTTAAAGAAATTATTTAAACCCTTATTTCTTTTGATATTACCGCACATTAAATGTAAAGAAGTGATAGAAGAGGGGCATATGAGCAATTCTACAAATAAACGCCAGTTAGGCGGCCAAAAAAAAATTTAAAAAAATTTGGAGGGCACACTATTTCTACATGAATTTTCTTCTTCCTTACACCCTAAAAAGGCGAGAAAAAATCGTGAACATGAAATTTTTTCTTTGTGACATACTTTAAATGTGACATACTCTTTCTGACATACTCAGATAAATCTGAGCCGTTTATTCAGATAAAACGATTTTTACATAAATATAATATTATTATAATGTTTTTCTAAAATGTATTTATAGAGATTTCATAGTATAAGATTATATTTTANATGAGACAATTACAATAACTAATAGTCTGCATTGAAGTAATAAAATACCGATTTTTCTATAGATTTAATTATTTTTTATCTCTCACAGGACCTTCTATGGGCCGAAACGAATGCTACCCCCTAAAATTATTCCTCATAAGGCATACATCCCACTAGTTTATTTCAAAATTGGAGAGTCACACTTCCCTAGTTTCCCTTGTCAGTGGATTGGTTGTTCAACTCCGGAAAGTGGTAACCTAAATTATGAAGAAAAGTGAGAGTAGTTTACCACGATAGAAAAATACTAAAATCAGTTTTATGTTGATATATATTTTTTTAAATTAAAAAAAAAGTTTATTTTTGTATGAAACTGCTAAATTTTGATGTAAAAATTTAAAATAATTTATGTGTTAATGTTCAGCTCACGCCTATGAATCGTTTTTGAACATTTTTTGGAGTAGCAAACGCAGATAAAACTTGATGACAGTTTGCTCCAAATTGAATTTGTTGAGCCGTGGTAGCTCAGAGGATAGAGCATTCTCCTTTCAATGAAGTGAACCGGGTTCGAATCCCAGCGTTAGCCGGTCGATACGAATTCCGCACCCTGCTCGCACTGACCACAGTGCCGACATAAAATATCCTCAGTGGTAGACGGATCAGTCCCCTTAACATCAGGCGTCGTGGGAGGTTTTTATGATTTTCTTCTATTTGTAACGTAAATGTGGGTTAGTTCCATCAAAAAGTCCACCACGAAGGCAAATGTCTCCCAATATTTGATCCCGAAGTTCTCTTGTCTTCTGGATTGAGTTCAATATTACAAGACTATGGAGTTTATTGCTTGAATATAAGCCTAAATATATGTTTAGTTATTTTAGCTTATCAAACAAAATTATATTCGCCGAAAACATTAAAAATTCTTCATAAAAACGCGCAAACACTACGTACAAAAATCATTTAAAATTCTCAAGAAATGTATTAATCCAAAATTATTCATCGTATAATTTTATTGCATCATTTTTTTTTCGAAATTTTTTTTTCAGAGCTCTTAAAAGTTATCAAGTTCTGTTTTTTATTATCTATTAAAGCAACGCCTTTATTTGTGAACTTTTTTCAAAAGAAGAGTATTGTCTTATGATACTGTATCAGCTTGAGTTTTTTTAATAACAAAAAAGTCATGAAGAAAACTATAATCAGTAATTTAACTTAAAATCCAGATGGCGAGGGAAAAGTCCCCTTAAAGGTTGACTTATAGATTAAAGAATTTTTTTCCCAAAACTTAAAAAAAAAAAAAAAAAATCAAGTTTTTTGATTGGTTGATTTATTTTTCTAGCAATGCATGTTGATTCTACTGATACTTCGGCATCTTCCGTGAGTTCACCAACGCCACAACACCGTGACGGGTTGGAGACAATAAACATATTATCATTTCTTAACCGTATTACTGATGAGTTAAGCTTTCATTTCAAACGAAATGCTGTGAAAGAAGGATACTGCGATAACATCTACGATCAGGTTTTTTTCACACCATCATCCGGATCATTGTCTTACTATAAAGATTTGGTAGCACAATCATCAAATAGCTCTGCAGAAGTGGAGTTACCTAATCAAGCACAGCAATTCAAAAAAACTGTGACAGAACAAAAAATGTAAGTAATAGTTGAATACATTAGGGAGATTTTGCAAATTTACGTTAGTTTCCGTACGCAAGATTTAAATAACTGCTTATGCGCACTTCTAGTGCACATGCGTCAGTTCTGGTGAAATGCGCATGCGCCAGTGAAAAAATATCAAACTTGCGCAAGTGAAAATAAGAGATTTTTCAAAAATCCGTTAGCTAACGAAGTGGAATATCATTGTACTGGGTTTAGACTATATTTGTACTGGGTTTAGACTATATTTTTTTAGAGCTGTAGTAGTTTTGTAGTTTTTATTTACGTCGCATTAGAGCTGCACAATGGGCTATTGGCGACGGTCTGGGAAACATCCCTGAGGATGATCCGAAGACATGCCATCACAATTTTGATCCTCTGCAGAGGGGATGGAATCCCCGCTTCGGTAGCCCAACGACCTGCACGTGAAGTCGAGCACTTTACGGTAGAACAGCTTAACGAGGACCAATACCGTGCGCCCTTGGTGCCTACGTAGACTGATCCAAGTGGTCACCCACCCGCACAGTGACCGTATCCAGTGATGCTTGACTTCGGTGATCTGCTGGGAACCGTGTCTTAACAATCAGTCCACTGCGGGACTTTACTGAAGGTGAAACTGCGGATCTGTGAACAGAAAATTTGGTAGAGAATAGATTTTGAGGAATTAGGCGATAAAGAATGCAGCTTATCATTATTATTATTAATATTTAAAAATATTACTGAACTTCTGTTGATTATTTAACTTTTTTTAACTGAATTGTATAGTTAAAATAAATATAATGTATAATTTTGAAATAACGAAAATTTATCCAGTTTCTTATGGAACTAGAGCAATTAAACAACCATAATGTTAAACAAAAACTAATAAAATTATTTTTTTTTTATTTAAGGAACCAATGTAAGATCACACGATTCATTTCTAAATTTCATCAATACATTTCTCCAAATTCGCATTTCTTGGCCAATTTTAGTTCGGAGGTAGGCAAAAACAGAACATTTAAGAGCTATAAAACAGCTTGTAGCTTTGTCGTATGTAGTAAAAATCACGCCAACATAACATAAAGAAGCGTAGCATCTAAAACAGAAAGCTAAAACAGAAAGCTAAAGCAGTAGCTTCATTCTTACGTACGGAATCTGACGTAAAAGTGAGAAATTTTCCTTTTTTTTTTAAACAGAAAAAGCTTATAACATTTTGATATATTTGGACATCTTGTGACTACACTTTATTTTGGGACAGCTTCATATTGAATTTAACTTTTAACTTTATAATTACACGAGTACAATTCTTTAATTAAAATGTATGATGACGTGCAATTGAAAAAAAAATAAACAATACAAGTGTAAGTTTTTCCAGCTGTGTGCATACTATGTGCTGGCCGGGATAGCCTGGTCGGTAGGGCGATGGGCCCATGTCCGAGAGTTCGTGGGTTCGAACCCCGACGGCCGTAGACCCCCCGTGTAGTAAAGTGACTGATGCACGTTAAATCTGTCGAGTCGCAAAAGTCCTCCATGTTCCCATAACAAATCAATACCTCTGGGGGTACTGGATTGGATATCGATCGTTCTCTGATTCAGGTCAAAATTACGATCTGTGGATGATTGAATGGATGTATGAATGGGTCCGACCTATAAACGGGTGTGGCATAAGTCGAATTCTTGGCCATAGATGGCGCCACTGGAAAACAAGAACATTCGTAGCCCCTCTGCCTAAACAGGCATACGTCAAGCACAACAACCACCCCCTGCTCACTAACGCTCGCCAGCTAAGTGCAACACAATAATAAGAAGTTATTTTACTTATTGTCACTATATAACGATTACCTTATATAAAACTGTTCAAATTGTAAACAGTTTTTATTTCTATCGAGCTTTTAATATTTTTGAAAATATTTGATACAAATGATAAGATTTATATGAGGCAGGATCAAATCACTCACTCTCCTCTTTTATTGTACTCATTCATTTTTTTTTTTAAACATCGAATCAAGCGAGAGCTTATGAAAGAAGATTTCGGTTTCTACAACAATGGACCAAAAAAAGAGAAAACTCTCGAAAAAAGCACTTAAAATTGTAACAACTTTGAAAAAAAAATATTAATTTTGAAAATAAAATTGCGATAAGTGCGCCAAATTTCAAATCTTTTAATGCATTTCTGTGGACTGTAGAGCGGTCTGCAAAGTATTTTTTACTACATGTTTAACAGTAATATTTCATAAACTGAATATAGAATGTTTTTTATTCCATCGTACTCATTGAGCATTTTTCTACTCGCTTTGTAATTTCATATCTCTAAATCTGATACTTTTTCCGCAGCAAAACAAAATGTAATGTAAAGTTGAACACCCAAAACAGCGGCGGTAACGATTTCTTAATATTCTTTAAGCGTAATGTTATCATTTTCTTAGGTACTGTTTTTTTTTTTTTTTTCAAAACTTGTTTCCGTGTGGTATATACTCTTTTTCGTGTCGTAGGAGCGAAACAAACGCGCTTGTTAAGACTATACTAATACATTGTCAAAATAAAAAAAAAAGAACAATTCATAGTGAGTCGAACTGATAAATATGTATAGTAACAGTGTGACATATAATGTAGGAGGAAATTATGCAAAACCGATGAAGTTGTTTGCGCAGTATTGAATGATATTATGGGCGAATCTTTTTACTTTCACATCGCTTCAGATGTAGGCGTTGTGACAATGAAAGTAGGGTGTTCGAAAAATCGACCGATATATTTAAACGGGGAATGACATAAGATATTGAAGTTGCAATTACGACTCATTCTCAACGAAACTTCTATCAGCTTAACTCATATGAAAAAAAAAAATTATAACACATAATAATAGATGGTGTTTTCTACACTAGGGTGCGCTGCTAGCTCTGACGGAGTTCCGTTTTCTAGTAGAAATAGTGCAAGTGAATTTTTAAAAAAAATTTCTTTTATATATAAAAAAAAATTAAAAAGACATGTAATCAATCGCCATATTAAAATTTAATCTTATTTAGGACTATCATGAATGAAAAAAGCTATCTCAAGGTTCAGTATTTATTGATGAAAACAGATATAACATTCGAATATTATAAAAACGAAGCTAATATTTCTTGATAGGTCCGAATCAATTTATCTCAGATTATGATGGTCCTGCCATATTCGGAGAGTAGAACACATCAAACAATATTATGAAAAACAGGTGAAAACATCATTTGTAGAATCTTTCAATTGTAATTTTGATATCTTTAATATTTCATTTTAAGATTCTACTGCTCGAGTTCCTGTACTGGATACCGCAACTCATCAATCGGTGCCGGACCTCTCGAAGATTTATTTCAAGTATTAAGGCCTAACATCAACGAATCATATGCATCTAAACTTTTCCTTGGTGATTCTGCGAACTTAGCTGCTTTCTCAAATACCGATAACGGTGCAGATTATGACTGGCAACAGTTGACATCAGATGGAGATGATTTTTCGGATTTCATTGACATTCTTCGTCAATGGCCGTCTGAGAGTTATCAAGAACCATTTCCAACTTATGATACAAGTGTTTATAATTTATTTGATGATTAAAGAAGGAGATTTGTGTGAGATGAAATGGTGTTGGATTTTCAGATTTCATCGTCATTCATTACCAGCTGCTGCTGAAAGCTATCAACCACTATTTTCAACGTCTGATATGAACATCTATACTTTTGTCTGAAGATCATGAAAAGGAATTTATATGTTTCTATGGCATAAAATGAAATTGAATTTCCGAATTTCTTAGGCATTTTTCATCAAAGACTGTTTGAAAGTTGTTGGCTGTTGAAAATTCAGTGAAAGAGTTTAGTGCTTTTCAACAACATGAAATGGATTTCAATTTTCTGATTTCCTTGACTTACACTTCGCAATTGACCGTTTATAATAGTAACATTTTCTAGCCACTAGTTCGGATATTTATCATTTATTTAAAGATCAATGAAATAGATCAATGTGTTTCTGTATAGACATAAAATGCATATGATCTCAGTAATTTATTCGAAATATATTTTTGATATTCCTGAAAAGCTATTTTCATCGCCTGAGAAATTCTTGTTTATTTGAAAATCAGTTTAAAAATTTAGTACTGGTTTTCTTAAAAATGACAGACGATTTTTTAAAAAAATAGAAGATATCGAAATAAATGTACAATTAGCTGCGTTTTTTTTTTAATGAAACGAGTTGATATATTCTTACAAACTTTTTAAAATTATTCAGAGTTTGTTTATAGGTGGCACTACTGTCGGAAAAAACGAAACAATATTTTTTACAGCAATGACGCCATTCCAACAGAAATATTTGCTGGAGCATCACTTATTGATTTGTCCTCAACCAACATATCGTAACAAATGCTGGTTATTCGAATATCGTAACAAATGCTGGTTATTCGAATAAATAAATGTTTTAAAATTTGTCTCAGTTATCAGCGCCATCTACTTATGACTTCTGTAACTGACACTAAAATTTGGAGGTTAAAAAATGAATGGTTTCCTAGGGTTCAACACAGTAAACCGTGCATATCTGCCTCCTTTCTTTTTTCTTTATTGGATTTTTTAAAATCATCGCTAATTTATAGGACGCGAGCTATGTTTCTAGTCACATATTTAAAAGAGATGATTTGTCGTATTTCATCATCCCACTCCTTACCTTTTTAAGAAAAAATTCTGTCATGAATAATATTGCTTTTAGAATTTGAAAATAGAATAGAATTAAAAAATTTTGGTGACTAGTAAAATTTTTTAAAAATTAAAATTGCACGTTTTACCTGAGAAAAAGGCTGATTGTAGTATTATTTCATAATATCTCTTAGCACATTATTATGTGTGAGAAAGCACTTATGTAAAAAGTTATTTTTAAAGCTTTCTTAAATTTATTTAAACATTAAAAAATATTCAATAATGATCTGAACTTGGAGATGTTACCACTCTAACAAATTTCTTATATCAAAGAAGAAAAAAAAAGCAGCGCATTATTTTTAATAACAGCTTCACTACATAATGTGTGATAAAATGGCCATAGTGAAAAATATGGTTATAAAAATGTTTTTGAATTATATTTTTAGCTCTCAAAAAAGAGTTCGACAATAATTCCGACTTTTCTCCAACGAGTTCAGAATGTCAAGGAAATAATTTCAACGTATTTTATTTCAGAAAAATAATGCAAGTAAGGGATTGCTGTGTTTTAATACAAAGTTGCTACTTTTAAAGCAATTCCAGTACTTTTATTTTCCTTTAACAACAGCCTTAAATTAAACTATACAGAAATACTTTTATAGTTCTCTGCAGTTTATATAAGTATTAAAATAGTTATAAAACTCATTATTAAAATTTCTTCTTGTTCCAATAGATCAGGGTTTCTTAACCTGTGGTTCATGAATCCCTAAAAGGGGTTCATGAGTTATATTTTGGGGGTCCGCTGACTACTCCTAATTTTTAAAACGTTTGGAAGCCTACCCATTGCTTGTAAAGCGAGTTATGGCAGCTATAATTCCGTTTGCTACAGTGTATCTTTGCGAAGCGGGATTTTCCACAATTGTGACGAAAAAACATAACATCGAAATCGATTGAATGTTGAACATGATATGCCCGTTTGCTTTGTTGAAAACCATCCCCCAATTCAATTTGTTAAGTAAGGAAAAGCAGCAGCAACCTTCACATTAAAAATTTTAATTTTAAAAATTTTGTATACTATTAAAATAATAAGATTAAATGTTTTCTAATAATTGAAATTTTTTGCAATTATTTTTTTCATAGGGGGGAGGTCCGTGACTTCTTAAAAATTTTTAAAAGGGGTCCATTATATCAAAAAGGTTAAAGAACGCTGCAATAGATGAATAAAATTGGAATTAACAATTTGTTAAGACTAGTTTATTTCCAGATTTCTTTCATATAATCGCAAATTTAAAATTCATTATTAAAATGTTTTGTTGTTTCAATCGATCATTAAATTTGAATTAGAATTTTAAAGTTTATTTTTAAACATCGTTTATGTAATTTCAAATCTAAACTTAGCATAAAAATGGATTTTTTGTTCCATTAGATCAAAATTTGAATTAGTAATTTAATAAAAGTTCGTGTTTATTTTCCTTTTTAAGTGATTGCAAATTTAAAAACCATAAGCAAAAGGCAAATATGGTTGTGCAGTTCATGAATGATTAGATGCCATTAATAATTGACCATTAGTTAAAATAGTTATTTAATTAACTAGTGATTTGGTTACTGAAATTTCTTTGTACAACATTCATAAAACAACATTTTTATGAAAGAAGAAAAAACTGATTCAAAGAAAGACACAAACGCTTCCAAAATCAAATTATCCCTTAACAACCTCTTAAGAAAAGTCTGAGAGAATAAAATAAGAAATCGAAAAAGTTTTAAGGATCAGTTTTTATCTAGTGTGAAAAATATAATATTTTGTGGCAATCAAAAAATATCGTTTTCACACTGTTTAGTTAGATCTGAAATCTCATTCAGATTTAATTGTTATATACTCAAGTGGTAGCTAAAAAAAGAATATATAAACGTGCTATTACTATTTTTCTTTACTATTTTATTACTATTTTTTAAGTGGTTTATTTTCAAAAAAAAATATGGGTGTTCACCGTATTTTCTTTTATGCGTGTTATTTCTTAAAAACTGCAAACCTGAACCAACATTTAATTTTTCATCCATGAAATATTATTTTAGGTGAAACTTTTAAGTAGAAAATAATTATTTTAGTACAATCTTTCTGTTGCCGATTTCTTATTAGCATAAAGCATTGCTTTGTTAAAATTTATCAAGTATTGTTTTCAGCTACGAAGTTTTTGAGCACTACTCCCCTGAAAATGTCCATTTTCGAGTGGACCACGAAGATATGTCGACCGTATTAACTTATCAGCAGGCATGCCTATGCATTTTTAAAAATTAATAACTAAGTTATTAATTAAGAATATTTAAGAATAATTAAGACTCTTAGTTACTAATTTAGAATATTTGTAGCTACGAAAAAATAATTAAAATATTTTTAAGAAATATATCTAAATGATAAAAATTTCAGGGTGTTATTTTGAAACTGATATGTTAGATGAAATTGAACTTTTCTTGCTACTGTTTGCTATCAGTTTTTGAAGGTGTAGATCTCTCACATAGCTTATTTGCTAAAAGGTTAAAGGACTGTACAGAAAACGACAGAAATAACGGTAAAATTTCAGTGCGTAGTCAAGAACTTTTGTAAACTATCAACTACTTTTGAACTAATCCCAAGAAACTGAACCAGTAAGTCGATTAAAAACCTCCTCTCCCGTTTTGGTTTCAAAGTGATTTTTAGACCTGTTAACAAAATCAAATTTTAATCTCTTAAGGAACCTATTAGCTTTGATAATCGCTGGACCACATTTCTTGTCAGTGCCGCACATCGGGCAAATTAAACGCGCTTTGAAATTTAGACTTAAGAAACACAATAGATAGGTCCGTTATCGAGAATACAATAAATAATCAATCTTGGACACAAATTCACTTTCGACTATGCCAAAATTATTTCCACCTCAGGCATATCAGCCTTAGAATCTTGTTTTATTCATTTAAATGCTGATTCTTTTGTTAACGACATTAGTTAATCACTACCTTCCCATGGTGCGTGGAAATGCATTTTACTCTGAGTTGCTCCTCTCAGCCACTGTGGTTTTCTTTGTTTTGTTTTTTCATCTTTATTTTTAATCACTCTCTGCTACCGAGATTTTTATAGTTTAGCTTTTCACCTTTATTTTCCATGCTTCTTAGGGCAACTTAACGTTTTTTTAAAAATTTCAAATCACTTTTGTTTTCGTTTTTTTTCATTCACGGCTGGCAAATCTTAAAAATGGGTGCTTATTTTTGACCGCTTGAAACATGTCGACTGTTATTTGCTATACTTTTTGAAGTTTTTTAATCAGGCAACACTTTTATCATGTCTATTTCTTTTATTAGTGGTTTCAAACGAAATGACGTAACATTTTATAATTGCAATATTTTATTAGACATTTAAAAAAAAAAAATAAAAAAGAATACAGATGTTATTTCGTTTGTGCACAGACATTTTTAAAATGAATGAGCATCTTTAGAATCGACACAATTAGTTCACCGTTACACAAAATATCGGAAAATTAAAACATTTCGATTTTATATTAGAACCCGTATGTTGTTTTGGGTAGAACTTGACTGGTGAAAACAGGTGTCCTGATATCGATGAGATGACGACTGACAGATGGACATGCACTTATTCTCGTTTGTAGACTCTTGTGGAAACAACGCTGCCAGCTTCACATGTCTGCAAAAAAATGATAAGTTTTAATTTTAGACTTTGTACTAATTAAGAACAGGAAGTGTTTCACGCCAAATTTACTAATCAGCAGTTTTTGTTTCCTATTTACTAGCTTAGAACAAATTTAGTGACCGGGATAGCCTGGTCGGTAGGGCACTGGGCGCATGTTCGTGGGTTCGAACCCCACCGGCCGAAGACTCCCCTTGTAGTTGGTGACTGATGCACGTTCGCAAAAGTCCTCCTAGGGCAGGGGTGGCGAACCTTCATGCACCAACGTGCCATTTTTTCTAAAATATATTTTAGTGAAGTCATAGACGTGCCGACATATAGTTTCAACTTCGTGATTATTGGGTAAATAATAATACTAAATACTATCAACTCAAAACTCTTTATTTACTACGAAAAAATGCAATTCTCAACTTTTGCAATGTCTCAGTTATACGCGTAATTCAACTTAAAGTAACATCAGTGTGACTTCTGTTGTTGCAGATTAGATGACAAATAACTTATATTAGGGTTATAAGATGTTAGTTTAAGCAGAACTGTTAATTTTGTTTGCTAGTTATTTATTGTTCGCTTGCTTTTTTTATGGCTATTAATTGCTTTTTTTGGCATTAATTGTTCTCTTTTTTGTGAATTTTAATTGAATTGTTAATATGCTTCATAGTAAACTTTGTGATCAGTGGCGTGCCCAAAATATTGTGTCGCGTGCCATAAGTGGCACGCGTGCTACTGGTTCGCCATCCCTGTCCTAGGGGTACTGGATTGGAGAAAGTTACGATCTGTTTATAAATGAATGGATGTATGAATGGGTCTGCCTTATAAACAGGAGCGACGCATGATGTGGCAGAAGTCGAATTCTTGGCCATAGATGGAGCCACTGAAAAACAAGAAGCGCACCTTTTGCCTTCGGTTTCACCAAGCAGGCTTGCTAGTATGGCAAGTGGCATTAGAACCAACCAACCAACAAAACTAACTTTTTTGCTTTGAGATTAGTCCTTAAAATGGGATTTTTTTCTCTCCATAATTATAGAAACATTTGCTTTCAAAAGTGTAGGGTTTGACAAAAAAATATCATTAAAAATGCATTAGATAGTGCGTTTTTATAAACTCGTTTTCGTATAGGTGAGTGTGGAATATTTCAATTAAAATTTCGACCACTCTCCGACGAACTAAATAGTTCTAATTTAACCTAGATCTCCCGTCCATAGTAACCATGCAAACGTCCACCATTTTTTGGCAGAAATATCGAGAATTTATCGTCAATCTTTATCTGAAATTTTAACTGGCCTTCCTGTGTATAATATTCTTGCAAATATCAACCATTTTTTCCTCATAATCCCTCCCCAACCAATATTTCCACACTAGTTTCATCCCGTCAATTTTTTCACAAAATTTTCATTGTTTTGCTCGTCTACGTGTAAACATGAACCGCTTTTTCCAACCACGGTCCATCTTTACTGTGTAATAACTCTCTGCGAGAACCGATTTTCCCCCGTTATTGATTTGAGAAAACCTTATAATCCTCAAACTGTATGAAATGTCGATCTAATCGAACTTAATTCTAAATGTCAAATACTTCGAAAAAAACTTAATGAGTAAAAATGGGTATTTATCAGTCATAGGACCCATGAAGCTAAGCTCGCCAACACATAAGAGCAACCCCCGACTCTGACTAACACAAGTTGCTGGCTACCGATAATACACTTAGGTATATATAAAACAAACTATACTATCACTATTTATAGTTATCGAATATCAAGTTATATCGTAGTAATTATTGATATAGTGTATACATTTTGTTTGGGTAGTGAAAATATAGACCAATATTAAAAAAAAACATAAATTAGCTAAATGTGAAAAATATCGCGATATAGTGTTAAAGGTCTATATTTTTTGACAATACATCATGATATTAAAGTGCCTAAATATGTGATGAAAGGCAAAACTTACGACTGTCAGGGTATCTCCAGATACTTCTCGGACGATTTTTACTTCCTTATCCCCATGTTGAATTTGGGTAAGTTTGTTTCCGTCACGTGTAACCACCGTCTGTAAGAAAAACATTCTTTAGCGAGGCAAGGATAGTTTAAGAATAAAGTTAACAATTATTTCATATAATTCTGTGAAATTTTATTTCCTTATGTTCAAATCTCATTTCGGTACACTCGTATTAGTAATGTTGGCCAGGGGGAGTGCGCCTTTCTCCCTGTTCAAAAGAGGTTAATTCCAACGGGCATAGTCCCACAGTGGACTGATCGCTAAGACACGGTTCCCAGCAGATCACCGAAGTCAAGCATCACTGGCTGCAGTCAGTGTGCGGGTGGGTGACCACTTAGATTAGTCTGCGTAGGGACCGAGGGTGTGCGGTATGGGTCCTCGTTAAACTGTTCTACCGTAAAGTGCTTGACTTCGCGTGCAAGTCGTCGGGCTACCGAAGCGGGGGTGCCATGCCCTCTGCAGAGGATCAAAATTGTGATGGCATGTCTTCGGATCATCCTCAGGGATGTTTCCCAGACCGTCGCCAATAGCCCATTGTGCAGCTCTAGTGCGACGTAAATGAACAACAACAGCAATCCAACGGGTATATTTTAAATATGAGGTTTCAAGACTTGATTAAGAGATGATAAACTTCAAGATGGCTTTATCCTCTGATTAAAAATGTCAGCACACAGATTTTTTTCTTCCAAAATGCACATTGTTGCACTTGACAAAATAGTTCATTCATTTGCCAAGTCAGGACAGATTTGACGCATTACTGTTTGACACATTACGGGGATGACCAGGTACTGTTACATAGTGTTTGACACATTAAGTTGAATAGCCAGGATCATCTGATAAAAACATCAGAGGAAAAACCATTGGCCTTATTTAGTTTATAATGGTGCTCTTGGCACTTAAAATGGTGTTTGGATGACAAAAATTTAGTTTCACTGATTTTGTTTCCCATACTATTGGGATAAAATTCAAACCTAACCTTTGCATTCATCTACAATTTTGATTGTTGAATTTCTGCTTAACCCCTTAACGATCGGTTAATTTTCAAGAAAACGTTCATAATAGTGCCTATTTTTTTGGCTTTTGTATTTGTATTACGTATTTGATTAGTTCTAGCATCTAGCTTAAAATAAACTAACTACCTACAATTACCTTAAAAATCTCCTGGTACTGCCATCTGGTGTGTAAAATGAGAAATAAAATGTTTTCCGGGCAAAAGAAATGAATTAATTTTATTCTTCTTGGCGCGTTACTACTGAACACTCCAGCCCGTCAATGTCACGGGAGTGAGAAATAGAGGGTGAAACCTCACCCCGTCGTTTTCACGGGAGCGAGAAGGAAGGGGTTAATTGTTTGTAATGTTTTCAATTCATCACGGAAAAGGAGAAAAAAATAGTTGTAAAACTTATTCTTACCTTGACTGTGGCACCATCGAGTCTCTTCTCTTCGAACTCCTGGCCAAGCTTGAATTTGATTTCGGAGCTTTTGAAGGCAAGGGTCTTGATGGAGTAATCATCCCCCTCAATCTTGATCTCCACAGTTGGCTTTGATGTCTCAGCCAGTTTGCGAGTCACCATGTTGACCCCTGCAGATAAATAATTCGTGATTAATATTTACTCTCAACAGATTGCAAGTAAAGTTGCTATACTCTAAACACATGGTACGAGTCAGTTTTCGAACTAGTTATTCCTTTGGAAGAAAAAAAAACGTATATAAAGATATAATTGTTTTTTTACAAGGTTACCTAGTATCTTAAAAGTTTAAAAATTTCATTTCCATTTAAATAATTTAGAAATCTATTTCCCAAATTTAAATCTTCGTTTTTTTTTTAAATTGAAAATTACTTAATTTCTCAAAACAGGTTTTATATTGTTGTCATGATTTGCAGCAGCAAAGTTTCTTCCTATGGAAAATTATTATTGTTTTTTAAGTAAATGATAAAGTGTGGTTTTTGTCGCAATCTATGTTGACCATTTAGTGTTCAAGTATTATGTGTAGTAACCTCTATCAGCATTAATTTAACTGTTATCTACTCAATTTGTTTAATTATTAATTTATTTTGATGCAATTAATAATAGTTTTTAAGTAAATATTTAGCTCAAATTACTTTAAATTCCTGCTTGCGATTAAAAGCTGAAATCTTCACTGACATCGGGGTGCAAGCTTTCAACCTCTTTGACACGTTCTGAGATGTTAGTCCCATAGCTACACCGAGTTTTTTCAAATTTTTAATAGTGCTCTCGAAGAGATTTTCGAACAATGTGCATTTTTCTTTTTTAGAAACAATATTAAAAAAAATGAGTTCCCCGTTGAATCATAATATGGAGCCAATTTGCTTTTAACTATATGATGTGTCCGAAACATATTTCCGTTCAAATTGAACTACAATATCAAGTAATCAAGTTTTAAAATTACATAATATGGTTCAACTCACCATTTAAATACTGTATCAAATTAGCAGAACATATTTTTATATTATTCGGTGATTATAAATTATCTTTTATTAAAATTACGAGATTTCAATGAATTTTTTTAGAAACATTGTTGAAATTGCTCCGTTAATTAATGATAAAAAAATGCCCTATATTTAGAGCTATATTAACTTTTATTTTTGGAGTGTTCATATTCAATTACAATATCAGCTTAAGACCTCGTGTCTATTATAACGGACATCAGTTTGAAATTTCTGTTACTTAAATGAATAGTCCTATGAATCAGATACTTTTTGTTCAGTTTGATAGTCTAAATCTTTATTATATTTTTGAAAATTATAATTGCTTTTATTATTAATTACACGAACTAGTCAAATCCGTTTTTGGAAAAGTGATATCATTAATTTCATTTATTTATCTCAGTTGAGTTCTAACTTTTACCAATCTATAATTAAAATTATCAAGAATTTTCCGAAATTGTGAACGCTTTACGAAATTTTACAATTTTTATCCAAAAATCCCAAAATTTGCAAAGAAATATAAATGTTATTCTGTATAGATAGCATACTTTGTACCAAAGGAAAGTACTCAATTACAAAACTTTGCAAATTCTAATTGAAGGGGATTTACATATGCATCAAATTTATTTGTTCCTAGTTTAACAAAACTTAAAAGATTAAAAGCACCGCAAATTTTGAAAAAATTTATTATTCTCTGATTAAAATAGTTCTTTACATAAATTGATATAGTAGTTAATAAAAATATAAGTTTTCCTTTTTTTCGAAAACTTGTGATTGCGTAAGAAATAGTACTTCTGATATAAATCTATCAATACATTCGTTTTAAATTTTTATGCATGAGTCACATTCGAACACCATTGAAAGAAGATTTAACTGAAATCAGATATAAGATCTTGTGCAATACCCTAAACATATTCACAAATGGACACGTCATACGAAGCGCTATTCAATCTCTCGCAGGAGATAAATTTTTCAACTCAGCATTTCTTTATCTTTTCAGCACTAACGGTTAGCGAGTACAGTTGCAGTTACTAAACTTATCTTATCAACTATTCTAGGGTGGTCTGTTGATTATGCATTGAAAAAAAGTCAAATCAGGCAAATCTGATTATTAACTGTAACTGATAACCTTTTAATGTCATATATGGGAACCCTGCACCCTGAAAACGCCCTAAAATGGTGATTAGATTATTTTTTCTAATTTTTTTTTATTCCTTTCTTAACCGTCGCTTGGTGAACTCAAAGTCCGTCTCTGACATGGATAGCTTTATTTGGATTAGATAAGCGAAATTCAATTAAAAATTTCTCGGAATATGAGAAAGAAAATAATTATGTGAAGTAAAATATAAATAAATAATTTGGCGATTTCGCGAAATGTTGAAACAGAAATTTTTTTTTTTTTTTTGACGTGAAAAGGTCGAATTTCTGGTGTGATACTTTGATTAGGGATCAGATCTGAATCTTGAGATTCTGCTATATATCTGTATCTCACGCATAAAAAGCAGTCTAAACTTAGCTTCAAGTTTCGTACTATTTTTCTCTTCCAAATTTATACACATGATAGTTAAAGCTTCCATTACCAAACACTTAAACTTTAAATTGTTAAAAAAAAAAAAAAAAAAAACAAGATCGTGCTTTTTAACTTTTAAACTAGTTCGCTAAGTAAGACATTTCTAGAACAGTTTTCGTTCATAGTGTATTCAGAATTTGATGGAAGCTCAAGCTTTTTTTAATTGTAGGGTCAAAAGGAAGAAGTGTTATATTGGATCCGAAATTTGAGACGTCATGGCCAATCGCGAATAATAATAACAAGTGTGAACAAAAGACAACAATAATAGTTTTTAAAAGTAAAAATAACAAAAATAAAATAAGTAGAAATAAAAAAAAAATTTCGAATGATATTTTTACAGTGAACCACCGAAGGAATACTTTGGGGAATTTTATATTGTGTTTTAATGTATTAGACACAACGTGATAATAGCACAACGTGAACAACTACAACTGTTCAAGACTTAAAATTCTTATGGTAATTAAAATTATGAAAATCTAGTATGAATTCTCGTTATATGCATATAATCTTAATAATATGGTTTAAGAGAAATTACTTTTTATAAATGTTACGATAAGTACAGCTTTTTAAAGAGTGATTATTAATATTTGAATTTTTAAGTTTTAAAATTAGATACGAGTGACAAGTTTGAAGTTAACCGCGATTTTGAAAAACGTTATTTAACAAAATTAAAATAAGATCTAATATCTCGATCTCTTGCCACTTTATTCGTAATCCCCCTTCTTGTATGAGGGTGGTCTCTTTTAAAGATCGTTACTTAAAGGAAGATTTAAAACTGCTGCGTATCAAAATTATTTATTAATTTTTTTTTCTTTGCTTGTACAAAATATTACATTCACGGGAGAGTTTTTCAATTTGTATATTTCCTAGTATTCTGCAAAATATTTTAATATTTATTCAAAGCTATGATGACAGTTACACTATTAAAAACATTAATTTTTTTAAGGTGCTTGTTATAGCAAAAAGCATATTTCAAGCAAAAGAGACATGTAGACGAGATATTGCGTCGAATACTAAAAAAAAATTAAGGAATAGGCATTAGATTGTAGTTATAAATAGCTCTAGTTATGGTAGGTAAATAAATTACATGGATAAATTATCTATAATAAAAGACGAATAAATCACTTGAGGTAGAAAATGTTTTATCAAGGCATATGAAAATTTATAGAAATACAAAACTAAATTTATAATTATTAAATTCAAAGATAATCTTTTTAAAAAGTTAACTTCTGGACTAACCATATAATTGTTTTCCCTTAATACACTCAGTGTCGACAAAATGTTTTTTTTTTCCTTATAAAAAGAAAATAAGAAAAAAAAAAGAATCTTGTTTGTGCATTGCAGAAAAGTAGCAATTGATTTTTCTTGTCGCGTGCCTTTTTTAAAATTTATTTTGCGTTCTTTTTTGGTGCATTTACGTGACACCATGACTTAAAAGATTTTTAAAAAAAAAAATTTTATACGTTTTTTTTTAAATAATTAAAAATTGAGTTGCATTAAATCAAGACCTTATTTGAACAGTTTAGTCGAACTTCATGTTTAATAATTTGAAATGCAGAGCAGTAAAATATCACGAGTTCTCTTATCTTATTTGATTTGTGGTTCTCTCTGTTTGGTTGCAGAAATAAGCAGAAGGTAGTTTTGAAACAAGTAGAGTTTTTTTTTATGTACATGAATGTGTGGCTATAACTTCCTTTTTTTAAATAAGTGAAATCTGACCACTATTTAAAAAAAGCCTTCTTATTGGCTCTCACAAGCACAAGAAACCACATTAAACGAATACCAACTTTCAAAGAACTTTTATTGATTTAGCATTTCATAATATTTTTTTCTTTTTTCTCTAGCTTTATTTCTTAGATTAGAGTCAGGTAACAATATATATGATTTGGATTTCCTTTTCAACGATACGCAGTGAGTAAATAAAGAAGTTTACAAATATGTACCAGCAAGAAAAAAGAAGATAAAATTGCATCTAAAGAGTACAATCTGACTTAATCACATTTAGAATAAATAAGGGCCTATTTTTAAACAATATGAATGAATCTTTAAAAAAAAAATGGACAAAATATCTAACTCATTGTACGGCGGGCTTATCAAACAGCTTTTAAACACTATCTCTGTTATTTCAAAGATTACATGCATGAATGAACTTTGTGGAGGGGAAAAAACGCCCTTTAAACTTTATCAAATGGAACCATTTTCTTCCCTTCAAATTCTTATCTTGAAAAAAAAAATGTATAATGTTAAAAAATGTATATTCTTAGATTATTACAGTTTACATTTTGTAGATAAATAAAGCCTGAGAAAGCGGAGATAAGCGAATGTGTTTGTTCTCATTAGATTAAGTCATTTTCCGCAGACGTGGTAGGTGTTCTGTTCAAAGGTTCATTGGCGTCTTTGAACAAAGACAGGAAAAGGACTTTTATCGAATTCATCTCATTTTTGAATTTAACGAATTAATCCAAGGTTAGACACGTGTTTCATATCTCTGATGGGATTTTTTTTTTCTTCTTCCAATAATCGAAGACAGAGTTAAATTTTTCTAAAAAAGGAAAGACATGTG